TCCTATTAGAGGTCGTTCCGACTATTGCTAACTTAAGTATCAGAGTATCTTCCCCGAGGTCTTCCCTCGGGGCATTGCAGGTGAACTCTACAAGAAACTCGTGGTGCAAAAGGAGGGTTTCACTGCATCAACAGTGGGGAAGAGCTATAAATACCTATGTAAGTTCTCATTTTCAATCAAGCGAATTCGGAGAAACATTGTCTCGAAACTTTCTTCTCTTCCTCTGTAAAATCCTCCTAAGTCCACTTTTATCCAATATAGTTCACTTTTAAGAGGAAGGATTGCAGCACCACATTTGGTACTAAAATCCAGTGCACAGTTCAGGCTCAGCAGACTTGGGATGGTCCCAAGCCTATTTCAATTGTTGGTTCCACCAGCTCCATTGGAACTGAGGTTACAAGAAAAGAAAAAACTAATCTTTGTGTTGTACATAAATTTATGCAATTAAACTTTGGCGGTATTCCAGTTCTGGCTCTTCATGATCTCGTAAGAATCATAATTTGGCATTTTGCAGACAATCAAGATATTAGCAAAGAATCCAGTAAAGTTCAAAATTGTGGCTTTGGCTGCTGGATCAAATGTAACTCTTCTGGTATTTAATTATTATTCATATAAATTTACATATAAAATTTATATTTAAAAAGTTAAAAATTCAAATTAAATTTATTAAAAATAAGCAAAGAAGTAATATTTTGAATTATAAAAAAATTAATTAATATTTTCAAAAATTTAAAGATTTTCCTTAATTTCCCAAACAATGAAAAGTATTTGTCCTAAAAAGTTTTTCAAAGTGTTCCAAATATAAAGAAAATAATCTTTTAAAAAAATATTTTTATAAAAAATATTTTCTAAAAATGAAGTCTTTTCCGTAAACCAAATAGATTCTTAAACTTTTTTTTTTTTTTAATCGGAAAAAGGAAACAACTTTAGTTTGTGTTCATTCAGATAAATGCAAAATTCTTGCGGGAGATCACAGACAGCTAAACAAGGAAGCATTGCTATAATTGTAAAAGAAATAAGGAGGAGGTTTGGGAAGATGAAAAGAAAATAAAACTTTACCATGTGTAGAAAGATAGAATTGTAGAGACGAAAGGTTTTCTGCAACATGAAATGAAAATGAAAAGATAAAATTGAAGTCCCAGTCTGACCAGGTCACCCATGGGCCGGGAAGTTGGCGGATTGATGATGTGGAGGTGAGGCGAGGACGCCCATACCTAATCTATATATATATATATTAAAGGAGAAACCAATGAAGATAAGTATTGCCACATGTCCTGTTTATAAGCCT